ATATATATATATATATATATATATATATATATATATATATATATATATATATATATATGTATATATATTAAGATTCCATGGTGCGACTCCTTAACCACCGGAGACTGATTCTTCTGTGAAATTTAAGCATGAAACATCGAATGAAGGGAGGAAAAAGCTTATACAACAAAGCAGTTGACGATTTTCGCCTAACACTTGTAGACAGAAAGGCTTTTGAGTGCACTGTGCCGTACAAATCGGTTGCTTCACCATGAAGTGGCCTACCATCGATTTATAAGAACCTGAGTTACTTAACTACAAACCTTACTCCCTCCTATTTAGAAACCATATTCCCTCCTAGCCACACTTCAGCTGCTGCACTACCTCAACATGACTATAATACCTCCCCTTCCTATGATTTGTATCTCTATAGTCAGTCATTTAGTCAAGACCTACAAACCGAACGACATTGTTTTATTCACATTAGGAAGAGTTTCGTGGTTGCATCAACAGAAGGATTGAGTCAAAACCGACGATAATCGTTTCTCTACCACCAGTAACGGAAAGTGTTGCAAACGGAAAGGGGCTTCCAACATTTCTTTACGACGAGAAATAACACGCAAGGGACCATGAGCAGCAAATACAGGGGTCAGTCAATGCGGGCGGAGATCGCGGAAATTGAGGATACAGCAATAAGCGGGGTATATTGCGTATTTATATGATAGGCTGCAATACCAGCGATGTACTGGAGTCAACGATACCCGCATTCCACCCCTTCAGTGAACGGTCAAGAGGGGCGAAAATGCTTGCTAAGAGATGAAATAGGTATGCAGGAGAACTCGAGGGGAAGAGGAAAAACAACAAGAGCTCCTTGCGAGGTCCCTAATGAGCGAGTTGGTTCAACTAAGGTTTCTGCAGAAACAATTACCTAAGCACTAGCGTGGTAGCTCCGTGCAGAGTAAAGTAGCACACATTGAGTCAGACAAAAGCAAAGTGCAAGGGGGTAATACCTTCTTCGAGAGTGGACGGCAGTTGCGAGTAACAACAATAATATATGTAGTGAACATTCAGTTTCTTAAGTGAAATAGCCAGTACTGAGAGTATTCAATAAGCTTAACTGCTCCTCTCAATCGAGCAGGTGGTGCTGTGGTGGTTGGTGCTCAGAGCCGCTGCTCCGCGAGCAGAATCCTTGCGTGTTGCATAGCTGGCTATGCCCGATAAAAGGAAAGGCGTGTTGATATTCACGTTGTATTTAATATTTAAACAATATTTATACTTGTAATAGTGTATAATATTTAATCGGTCTGGCCTTTTGGTCTGCCGTGCAGAGGCGCTCGCTCCTCTCGCTCATTGCTGTCTCGAAAGCGAGCCGAGCACTCTCTCCGCCGCTTCCTGTCTGGGCGCTTGAGTGGCTGCCTGGTGGTAGCCTCAAGCTAGTACACTGGATTTTCAAGTTCACGCAACTTCGACTGTCACTATCTTTAGAATTCCGTTGTCATTCTTTGAATCCCTAAGAACAACTTTTTGGAGCAATGGATCCCCAGTCGGGAAGCCTCAGAGGTGCTGCTGCTGCTGCTGGTGCCCCCATGGGCAGGAGTGAGGGGGTGAATAAACTTCCAGCTGGTGAAGAAGTGGAGGTTGCAGGTGGTACATTACCTGAAGGTGAAGAGGTCGGCGAGGAGCCTCAGCTCCCTAAGGAGCCGTGCTTCGCGCGGCCTCGGCCCTTCGGGCACACGCTGAAGGAACTGGTGGAGCAACTTGGTGCTCTGGCAACAGCTGCTAGCGCAACATTAAAGTCGCTTGGCAGTCGTGGAGTCGCCGGTCTACGTGGTGGAGCATCTTCGTCTGGTGTACGGGGGGGCGAGGAGACCGGTCCAGTGGACCAGGCACAGCGTGAAGTACCTGCAACAGAGCCGGTCCCGGAGCGCCCTGTATCTGAAGAAGCCCCCGTAGTGAAGAGTCCCCCTGTCGAGGAGTCTTTGGATGAGGAGGGAGCTGCAGGTGAACTGGGGGAAACTGAGGACAAGCCTCAGCTTCCCAAGGAGCCGTGCGCTTCTAAACCCGAGCGTCCCAACTCTGGTCTTAAGAGTTTATTGATGAAGGCTTTGGCAGCAGCCGCAGCAGCTGGGGTGCTGCTCAAGGACCTTGGCGGGCGTGGAGTTGCAAGCATGACTCGATCCAGAGCCGGTGTGCAGCCAAT